ATACAAATGTGGCACCTCTTCGAAAATCGTTTAAATTTTCTCTCATGCATGCCATTCAACTTATAATCGGCCCCCATCGGTTGTCGGCAAGGCGAGCAATATGTACTGTCCATTCGATTTTGTTTTCTCGTGTGATCAGAATGGTACCCTGCCTCTTTTTTGACATGCTGCAACTGGTTTCTACAAGTTTACAAAGCGATACGAAGCATCTGTTGTTCTACAGCTAGCTATTCTTAATACATTTATTTTTTCGTGACTACCGATTCGAATGCCAAACATTTTCGAAAGTTTAATTTTATTATTTTCAGTTTGTCCAGCAGGTTTTTGGGGTCCGTCGTGTGTTTCAAAGTGTGCTTGCAAATGGGGCGGTCAGTGTGATCCAGTCACTGGCATTTGCAATTGCCCCGCTGGTATTTTTTTTATCTACTTCAAAAAATTGAGATAATTACTGAGATGGCTGATTTACGGAGGCATCGCTTTTCAAACACTCTTACATTTTACGTCGTTTTTTTTCTATTTTTGACTTTCTCATGCACATAATCCCCATGTCGCATGAACGGCGACTATATGGAATTAATTGGATGAGAAAAGCCTAAAATCAAAGAAAATGGAGAAGTTGTCAGTTGTATCAGTAACGAGAAGAAACGCGACAATGAAATAACTGCTAATGAAAGGACCAGTTTAAATAATGCCCGAATAGCAGCGTTGCTTCGTACATATTAATTGTATTCATGTACTGGCAAATATCGCGGAATGCCGGGGGAAATTAATAAAATGTGTACTGCATTTGGCAGCATCATTAGACAGCCCAAATACTGCGTAGGGTCAATGAACTGGTAATGCAATGAATAACAAGTTCTCGATCCGGAGGGTCTGGAACTACTGAAAATGAGAGGTTCGAGTTTCTCCCGTTCCCTAGTTATTTGAAGAATCGGGCTCCTCTCATGAAAGTGCCTAACTAAGAGGAACTGGATGTTAACTATACTAAATATTAACTGTGTCAGGAGAAGAGTTTTACACACAACAGTATGGTAAAAATTCGCAATACGATTTCTACCCTAATTCATTTTTTATCGGAAATCATACGATCAGTAGATCCCAGTAAGTAAAGTTTA